TTATCTAGTTTGACCATCGTCACACACACACATTTGTTCATGTAAATATACAGTTTATCTTAATAAAAATATTTGAAGTTAACAGACTATATTATTTTGTTAACATTTCAAATGAGTTTTCTGTAAAGAATTATAGCCTTGATTACATTGAGATGAGGAAGCAGAAAATTTTAAAAACAAATAGACATAAAAAAAACAGAACTATTAAGCTCCATTTACCTGTTCGTAAAGTGCCTTGATTACCTTTGTTTTTCTTCAAATGCATCTAATTTATAAATGTATTTATGTACTCAAAATAAAGAAGCACTTTGTATTAGTAAATGTCAAAGTATTAAATTTTCCATTTCTTTTTGTTACATAAAAAAATTATATCTGGCTTAATCAACAATCCCTTTCTCACAAAAATGAAAATATTGTGATAATTGGTCATTTGCTCAGATTTTAGAAAGTGGGTTGGGCCAAGAGCATTTTACCTTGTACATTGAATGATAATGTAGGCATACACGCATCAAATTACCCAACCAGAAATCAGAAAAAATTAAGTGTTGCAAGATCAATAAAAAAAAAAAATTCATCAAAAACAGAGCTTTTTGCTGGTTTTTCATGAAATTTGAAAAAATATATATATATATATATATATATATATATATATATATATATATATATATAAAAGGTATAATATATTTATAGGTTAAAAGAGCTCAATATCAGAGATTGAATGTATGTAAATATAAAAGTGGACATTGAGGTCAGCACCCAATGGCAACAGTCAGTTTCATACTTAAGGTTTCAGGCCTGAAGATTGTATTTAAGCCACTGGGAGTTGATCTTAGTCTGGACATTTTATTATTATTATATATATATATATATATATATATGAGAGAGAGAGAGAGAGTCAGAAATAATGAAGTTCAATATTTAACAATGGTAACCAAGTTTTGTCATGATGAGCGAGAAATTATGAAATTTCGAGTTGACATTGATATGTATTGAACTTAAATTCAATAATTATTCCTCTAGTCAAATATCAAGTACTTTTTTTCTTTTCTTTTTTTAAATCATTTCACCCCAAACATGGCAATAAAAGCTACTAGGATGCAAAGGGGGGGGGTTACTGAGAGTGAAAGAAACAGAGAGAACAATAAATGAACAGGATTTAAAGGGACAGAAGATGAAAATTGACTATTCATTTAAATTTTTGAAAATCGTAGTTGACAGAAAATCAGGAAACTGGAAGAGAGTTCCATAAGCAAGTATTTTGAGATAAGAAACAATCATCATAGATCTTATCATTGCAACTAACAATTTCAACAATGAAACTACCTAACTGCCAATCTAGTACTGTGTTTAAATTCCTCAAATCGAGAGACCAACAAGGAACGCTCTTCAGAACAATTACCAGGAAAATATTTATAAAAAGAGGAAAAGGGAAGCTACATTATGGTTGGTTGGTTGGTTGTTTTAGCAGCAGATCAATATCTATGGGTTATTTAATGCCAAAATCTAAATATTTTATATGTAATTTTATCTTTGGAGATAATAATGGTTTAGTGATATAAGTCTTACTAATTAAACCGTAGCTTGCAGGGGAAGAAGAAGTGGATTCATACCTTTCCCAAGGGTATTTGCACATAAGTGAATATAACAAATCCAACTGGAATTTGAACTCAGTTCTCCAATTAACAATTCTGAGCTATTATCCTTTATACCACCTGCAAATTCAAGCTTACAGTACCTGGTATTCCCAAGCCGTCACCCATCTAGGTAATGACTGCTTGACATTGCTACATTATGGAAGTGGGAAGTGACTGAAGCCAAGATGCCAGGCCAGAACCAATTCTGTTCATCTTGGCATATGTTAATTTATATAATTTTACATATATCAATGGCATTATTATATATATATATATATATATATATATATATATATATATATATATATATATATATATATATATATAAACTATTAAATTATTTAACAGTAGTAAGATAACAGCTAAGTAATAGAAAGTCTATATTAACAATGCAGCTACTTATAGATTTGGCCATGAATCAATGGAGTAAAACTTATTTCTGTTGATTTTCCAGTTATTTGCTGTTCTTAAAACAAAAATCTGCTGTTGGTATGATTTTTTTTATATATTTGTTTTCTGCAACCTTGAACAGATTAATCCTCTGAAACGTTTTAAGTGAATCCTCAATATACAAGGTGCTCCAGAAGTAATGCACCCTATTTATTGCCATGGACACTACAACAAATACAGAGAGCACAACACCACACTTGGATAGAGCATATTGCAACTACAAAACACTATTTTTCCATGTAGTTACCAGTGTTGGCTTCTTACACATATTGTTGACATTATTATTGAAATGTATTATCCACCAATTGTGCTCACATTCATTATTTGGTCTCTGTAAAGTTCAGAAAGTATCAATGACTTTAAATGGGTGCAATTTTTTCTGCATGAAGGAATTCAATGGGACATCCCCCATTTTGCACACACTTCATACCAGACATTTTTCTAGAGTGCTATGTGTAATCAGGGGTTATAGGTTAAACAGTTCATTCTCTACTGACATACCACCAATATCAGACTGTGTGCATTAGCATAAAGTAGTAGTTAGTAAGCTAGCCTGGCTTATTTGTAGTGAATGCAAACTTCAAAGAGAGCTCTACAGATGCCGTCTTGTGCCAAACTAATCTAAACAAACTGAAACACTGAATTAAACTCATCAGCAATGCATATCCACTACCGAGATTCGAACCTGGACTGTTTTGTTTGGTATGACGCTTGCGTTGTATCAAAACACTCCGAGTTCAATTCTCAGTAGTGGATGCACACTGCTGATGAGTCTCAGATAGGACGAAACGGCCGTCCAGTGCTTTCTGCATTCTGTTGAAGATTATTCTAGGCTCAACGAATTAATATATAATTAGCCTAAATCCCCAAAATAATCACACACACACATATATATATATATCTCTCAATTATAATGAATTTAATATCAGAAATAAAGAAATTAAACACAGAATAAGTTGCAACCAAGAGCATTTTTGTCCAACACTAAGATGCTACAGAACCAAAATATTAACCTGAAAACTCATTTTTTTAAATAGCCTAATCAGATTCCGACTCTCGTATGGACAGCATGTATAGTGTTCAACTCATTCGGAAATATTTAAACTATTATCTAGATATAACAATTTCCTCTGATCAATGAGAAAAAATGGCTTCAAGTGAATTAATCCTTCAGATTTTAAACAAGACAATCCTTCATCAGATCCTGTAAATTGGAGCTGCACAATCAAAGATCTTTATTAGATAACAAAACATATACTAATTGAAGATTTTTAACACCAGCAACAACAAAAATGGATAGTATATGTAACTAGAAGAAAAAAAAAATGATATAATCAAGATGTTGACTTTCCACACTACCTTAAACAAAAGGTTTGCAAGGAAACTCCCATCATATTAGAAAGAGAGTTGCCACATCTAAGCTACGCTTAGAAAATCACCATACTAGAAAGAGGGATAAAAGTAGACTTGAGAAGTTTAATTTCTTGAAAAACTTTTAAGAAAAAGATTAATTTCAACCAACAGTAACACTAAATGTCCAGTCAATGACAAATGTTCCTGTATGAAAATGTCTAATCTCAACATAACCACTCATTTCTGACATTATGTGCTAGCATAATATGAGAGCAGACATTACTTTTGCAGTAACTCTTTTAGGATTCTAAAAAAACATCTAAAGTAGAAAAGCTTGATTGGCTACCAAATAAATAGGAATCATTTAAATTTTTTTATACAAGGGACTTATCTTAAAACCATAATGACAGGAGTGTGTCAATATTGATTATGAAGATAGCAGCTTTTTTTTTTTGTGGTGGTGGGGAGGGGGGGGGCAATAACTACATGCAGAGGTATGATAGTTAAGGGAGAATGGTGTGCAAGTGTTTGCTCATCTACTCTCTTTTTCAACCATCCTGCCATGCCAGTGATGAGATTTTATCAAGATATCTGGCAGTGAGACAGAATTTAAAAGGAATAGGGTTCATGCCTTTCCAAAGGCCATGTGTTCAATTTGAACATAAGCCGAAACTCAATCTTGGTCTGCCAATACTATTTTCTGTGTTGGTAATTGTTGTGCTATATATGTTCTACACTTCTAATTTGATCTATCCCCAGCAAAGTCAAACTGAAAATATGATGACATAACTGCTAACATATTTCTTGACATTAAAATAGAACATTACTGCCATTTTTAACCATAAGCCAAGTGAAATAGATTTTGTACATGAACTTTTTTGGCTTTCCTGGTATGCTTTCTATGATAAACTATCAGATAAAGATAATTATTTCTATTTAAAGTATAATCCTATAAGGTCATGCAAACATATTTAGTTAATTCTCAATCTTAAGTAGATGAAAATGAAATTAAAGATTTTGTCTGAAGGAAAAAAAAAAAGAAATAAAACTTTTTTGTTTTACATTTTTGGTAAAAAAAAAAAAAAAAATAAATAAAAGAATGTAATAAATACTGGTTACAGTGTGTGCAAAAAGCATCCAAAAACATTTATTTTAACTTTTTGTACATAACTTTTCAGGTTTATGTATTTCCTTTTTTCTTTTATATTGATACTTAGCTTTTGTCCAAATTTTGTCAGTTTTTAAACTTTTTCAATATACAAGATGCAGTGCATTGTAAAAGGAAGAGTAAAAAGAATAACTGGTTGATCGATTTGTCTTCTACATCTTTTGCAGGTTATTTAAAACCAACAGATTTTTTTTTAGATTCTAAGAATTTTTTGTGTGGCGGTAATAATGATTTAAATCCTATTAATTAACCCATAGCTGGGGAAAAAGAGATGGATTCATAACTTTCCCAAGGATATTTGCACATAAGTGAATATAAACCCAACTTGAATTGGAACTTGGCTCTCCAATTAAGAATCCAGAGCCATTATCCATTACACCATCTGCAAATCCAAGCTTACAGCACCTAATATTTCCAAACAGTCACCCATCTAAGTACTGATCAGGCTTAACGTTGCTTAACTTCAGTGATCATACGGGAACTGGTGTTTCAACATAATGTAGCTGTAAACCAAAAAGAATAATTGGTACAGGGAGAGAAAGATTTAAGATTTTAAACTGTTAGTCATGTTCCAAAATATTTAAAATGTATACCGTTTACAATACAACAAACTTTTTCTATGTGCCATGTCCTTTCAGGACGTGGGTAACCATAGCTCTCCATAATTTCCTGTCCTTTGTCATTCTTAAAGTTTGTAATTTTGCTATCTTTTCTAATCCCACTTCTGCCAACCATTTACAAAGGCTCATTAAGTAGGTTATACAATACTTAACTCAGTCCCTCTAATCTTCAATATATCCTATGAATGCTGAATTTTCTAAGCCTGCTTTCCTTATTATATTCCCTAGAAATTTCAGCTATCTCTTTCTGATGTTAAGTGTGTGTCCTTTTTGTTTCTATTTTCTCTAAAACTGTCATTGCTCACATGTTTGATCCATGATAATCTTCAGCATCCTTCTGTAGAACTATATTTCTGTTGTTTCAAGTCTTTTTAATCTAGGAGGAGATTGTCCCAACATTTACTACCATATAGATGAACTGATATTACATTACAGTTCAGTAATGTATTCTTTGATTCTAAAAGATTTTTCTGTTTCTTAATACTTTACTTAGCTTTTGGAAGGTAACTTTCATTATCCTAATATGCATTCAGATTACAATGCCACATTTTCTACCCTCTGTTAAAACACTTCCTAGATATCTAAATTTTTGTACTTGCTTGATTTTAGTATCTCCAATTTGTAATTCACATTTTAGGCTGTTTCCTTTGCTGACAACCATATATTCTCTCATCATACACTTGATGTTTAGTCCTTTCTTCTCACTTTCCTTTACTACCTTCTGTAGGAGTTCCTACAGTTTTCTTTTTCTACTATCAGCACTGTGTCATTTGCATATCTAATGTTGTTAAGATTGTGGGAACCAATAATGAATCCCAATAGGACTTCTAATTCTCAGGATTGCTTCATTGTAAAAGTTGAATAGGTCTGGCGGCACATCCTTGCCTTGTGCTTTCTATTTCTGTGTATTTACTGAATTCATTTCTAGCCATATGCAGGTGGTTTACTCCCAGTCTAAGTTCTGGATTATTCTAAAATTTTTCATAAATATATCAAGCTTACCTAGCAGTTCCAGCAGTCCTTTATGATGTATTTTATCAAACACTTTTGCATGATTTATAATAACAGTTATTTTTTTTATATTCCAATACAATGAACAAGACTAAGCTTAGTGTTCTACAGGTCTGGATGAAGATTAGATGAGGTTGTAAAAAGAGAAAATTAATGAGTACTACAAATAAGATGTTCTGTACTTTTAGAGAGGAAAAAAACAGCTATGATAAAACAAAAACAAAATAAAGAGCTAGTGATAAAACGATTAGTCAAAGTACTAGTCAAAAATAACTCAAAGAGGACAAGGGAGTCAAGATAATAAAACTAATTCAGAACACCTGTTGAGATTTGATAACTAAACTAATTGAATCAGATCCTTAAGTGAGCCAGATTGCAAGAAGACTATCATCACCTGTACAATGGAATGGGAGTTTATCATCACCTGTACAAGCATAACAAGTTATCCAAGCAGGGAAAGCTGGTGTTACAAAAATTATCAGATATCAACAAGTAAATACTACAAGTTCATGCAAACATGTTTAGTTAATTTCCAATCTTATGTAGATGGAAATGAAATCAAAAATTTGTTTGGAAAAAAATTTTTGAGTAAAAAAATTCTTGTTTCAAAAAAGATTTTTTTTTTCTTTTTACTTTCATTTTTCTTACAAAAAAAAAAAAAAAAAAAAAAAAAAAAAAAAAAAATTAATAACAGCAAGTTACTTCTTTATGTGTGTGCTGTGTCCCCCTCAAAACATAGGCAATCATGGCTTTCCACAATTTCCTCTCCCTTGTAGCACTTAATAAACTGTCATACTGTTATTTCTCCTAGGCCCTATTCTGCCATGCATTTATTTAAACTCACTAAGTATGTCAGGCATCGTTTTCCTCTGACCCACAAGTATCAAATTTTCTAAGCCCTCCTTCCTCATATGCACTAGAACCCTCAACTGCCTCTTCCTGATGTTAAGTATTTGTTTCCTTTTGGTTTCCATTTTTACCAAAACTTATTACTCACATATTCAGTCCATGGTATCCTCAGCATCCTTCTGAAGGACCACATTTCTGTTGCCTCAAATCTCCTCTTCATCTTTGAAGAGATCATCCAGCACTCACTGCCATACAGGAGGACAGATGTTACAGAGCAGTTTAGTACTCTTTTCTAACAAATGTGGGTGCAAAAAGCATCCAAAACATTTATTTTAACATATCTTCAAAAGTGACAGATTTGGACCAAAGATTTTTTGTACATCACTTTTCAGGTTGAAATATTTGCTTTTATCAATTTTGTATTGATATCGAGCTTTTGTCAGTTTTGAAGCTTTTTCAATGTTTACAAATATATTACAACAATAAGATACAGTGTATTGTAAAAGGAAGAGTAAAACTAAAAAGAACTTCACAAGAAGAACTTATTACTTAGCAAAATTGGGATGAGCAATGAGAAAGGGATAATTTATGAAAGCAGAATAGACAGATGAAGATAAACAACCAAAAACCATTAACTAGAGAAAGTTGGAATCTTTCAAAAAAAAAATAAATAAATAAATAAATAAATAAATAAAAAAAAGTTTCAGTTTGGTATGCTATGTCAAATGTCATTCAATTCAAATTGCTAAAATCCAATCAGACAATAGATCTTTACAACTATTAATTTATTGAACTAAATAAAGAACTCCTCAAAATATATCCAGGCTTTGTGAATAGAAAGCAAATTTTGTTTTGCAAAAGTAACATTAGATTGCACAGATAAAATAGCAGCAAATTTATATTAATGAGAAATTTATGCTTCACCTTGCTTACTCTTTTGAACAGAGATTTATGATTACCATCTTTTCTGCAGCCTTCAAAGTTTTCAGCAAGAAGGCTCTCTGAGAGAATAAGGTTAAAACAAAAAACACACACACAACACAATTTGGTCAACATTTTACATCAAAGGACATCCTCTTTTACTCAAAAAGCATTAAAAACTTGAACAGAAACAAAGACCATGCAAAAAAAAAAAAAAAAAAAAAAGATGAAATAACTGATTGAAGATATATGGTTTTCCTTTCATTCTAAATGCAAAAACATTTTTCAAATACTCATAAATCCAGTAAGTGCAATCTGATTATCTTTTTTCTCATATATGAGAGAAAAATTTACAAAAATATTTAAGAAAAATTCTGGTCAAAAATACTAAAATTCTATATAAATCACATTATTGAAAACATCTTGCTACAACAGAGGCCTTGTATATTAAACATCTCTTTCAGTATTAATCTCACCTTATTTAACAGTGAGAATGGAGTGTTGAAAATTTAAAAGAAAAAAAAATTTTTTTAAAAAAATAGAAAGACGCTCACATAAATTCCAGCCACACTCAACATGTGAAGGCTTGGAATAAAGGCTGTTACTAATATTCAAAGTAAAAAAGAAAAAGTACATCTTAAACATGAAGAGAAATTAATATCTATAACAAACCCGCTTGAAAATGGCTAAACAAGTGGCCAAAAGCACTTGGGACAATGGACAATTTTTGCACTCTTATTTGCACCAACTGTAAAAATGTAATTATGCTGGAAAAACTAGATAAAAAAAATGAATCTGTCATTTAGCAGAATATGTTTAAAAGAAAAGTTGCTACTATATATATATATATATATATATATATATATATATATATATATATATAAAGAGAGCATAATATGATTTAATTAAATAGACACCATTATTTCATTTAAATTTGGCATTTGATAAAAATATACTAATTGACAATATCTCAATTTACCATTAAATGATAGATAACTGCATAGTTACTTCCCAATGGTCTGTACTACAAAAGTATAGGAGCTGTCAAATTTAAAAGGAAAATATTCCAAAGTAGAATGTATCAATGTCAGATAGCATCAAACTGTAAATGATGATAATCATATAAGGCCCAAATGAAGGAAAGGAAACCACTTTTTTCCCTCCATTTCAGACCGAGACATCAAAAAAGTGTCTTCATATGATGAGATGAAAATTGAGAAAGGTAAAGCAGCATAATGTAATCAAATCACCCTAAAAACAATATATTATTATAATTACATGTATTACAATTTCAAAGTAGCTAGAAAAAATAATCAGTATTCAGATACATCTCTAATGGTTCCTGGGAGGGGATGAGTGTTTTTATCAAATCACCATCAGTAGAGTGGTTACCAGTCAAGGCTATAGAGCCCACTTTGCCCTGATATTTAACCCATAGTTGGGAGAAAAGATGGATTCATACCTTTCACATGAAAATGAATCTAACAAATTCAGCAAGGATTCAAACAACTCACAGATTTCTCTTTCTGAGCCACTGTTACACTCTCTGCACATCCTGTATCTCATTGCTATGCAGCAAAAGAGATTAGTGAATAGCAGGTCCAAAATGCTATTAAGTGACTTTCATAGCCACATCAGTCTCCTGACATGAATTCTGTTGGACGCATCTCATTTAATTTGGATCATGAAACAAAGAAATCTCTTTAAAACCTTTCACAAAAGAACACTAGCTTTATATTTTGAATGTAGACAAGAAAAAAAATGATTAATCCAATGCCTAAAATAATAAAAACTTTCTTTTTTTCTTTAAACTCTGAGATGTAACCATAAATTCTATAAGAGTTTCTTCACTTGTACTTCTCTTTTGGGAAACTCATCCAGCTTCTCACTTTTCTGTCAAGTACAATCTTAGAAAAAAAAAAAATGCAATGTCAACAATTATCTTGTCTTCTTTATTCCTGTTTTTTTTTTTTTTTTTTTTGTTCTTTCACTTTAATAATGTTAATGACAAGTCCATCAAACTTTAATTTGCATAATGTTGAATTATTTACGCCATTTAGAGATATGGTGGAGTAACAAATAGCTGCTCAGA